AGACCATTTCTCCAATTTGTCCAGATCATTTTGAATTATGACCCTGTCCTCCAAAGCAGTTGCAATCCCTCCCAGTTTGGTATCATCCGCAAACTTAATAAGCGTACTTTCTATGCCAATATCTAAGTCGTTAATGAAGATATTGAACAGAGCCGGTCCCAAAACAGACCCCTGCGGAACCCCACTCGTTATGCCTTTCCAGCAGGATTGGGAACCATTAATAACAACTCTCTGAGTACGGTTATCCAGCCAGTTATGCACCCACCTTATAGTAGCCCCATCTAAATTGTATTTGCCTAGTTTATGGATAAGAATATCATGCGAGACCGTATCATATGCCTTACTAAAGTCTAGGTATACCACATCCACAGCTTCTCCCTTATCCACAAGACTCGTTATCCTATCAAAGAAAGCTATCAGATTGGTTTGACACGATTTGTTCTTTACAAATCCATGCTGGCTGTTCCCTATCACCTTACCACCTTCCAAGTGTTTGCAGATGATTTCCTTAATTACTTGCTCCATTATCTTCCCTGGCACAGAAGTTAAACTAACTGGTCTGTAGTTTCCTGGGTTGTTTTTATTTCCCTTTTTATAGATGGGCACTATATTTGCCCTTTTCCAGTCTTCTGGAATCTCTCCCGTCTCCCATGATTTTCCAAAGATAATAGCTAGAGGCTCAGATACCTCCTCTATTAGCTCCTTGAGTATTCTAGGATGCATTTCATCGGGCCCTGGTGACTTGCAGGCATCTAACTTTTCTAAGTGATTTTTAACTTGTTCTTTTTTTATTTTATCTGCTAAACCTACCCCCTTCCCATTAGCATTCACTATGTTAGGCATTCCTTCAGACTTTTCGGTGAAGACCGAAACAAAGAAGTCATTAAGCATCTCTGCCATTTCCAAGTTTCCTGTTACTGTTTCTCCCTCTTCACTGAGCAGTGGGCCTACCCTGTCTTTGGTCTTCCTCTTGCTTCTAATGTATTGATAAAAAGTCTTCTTGTTTCCCTTTATTCCCGTAGCTAGTTTGAGCTCATTTTGTGCCTTTGCCTTTCTAATCTTGCCCCTGCATTCCTGTGTTGTTTGCCTATATTCATCCTTTGTAATCTGTCCTAGTTTCCATTTTTTATATGACTCCTTTTTATTTTTTGGATCATGCAAGATCTCGTGGTTAAGCCAAGGTGGTCTTTTGCCACATTTTCTATCTTTCCTAACCAGCGCAATAGCTTGTTTTTGGGCCCTTAATAGTGTCCCTTTGAAAAACTGCCAACTCTCCTCAGTTGTTTTTCCCCTCAGTCTTGATTCCCATGGGACCTTACCTATCAGCTCTCTGAGCTTACCAAAATCCGCCTTCCTGAAATCCATTGTCTCTATTTTGCTGTTCTCCCTTCTACCCTTCCTTAGAATTGCAAACTCTATGATTTCATGATCACTTTCACCCAAGCTGCCTTCTACTTTCAAATTCTCAACGAGTTCCTCCCTATTTGTTAAAATCAAGTCTAGAACAGCTTCCCCCCTAGTAGCTTTTTCAACCTTCTGAAATAAAAAGTTGTCTGCAATGCAGTCCAAGAATTTGTTGGATAGTCTGTGCCCCGCTGTGTTATTTCCTCAACATATATTTGGATAGTTGAAGTCCCCCATCACCACCAAATCTTGGGCTTTGGATGATTTTGTTAGTTGTTTAAAAAAAGCCTCATCCACCTCTTCCACCTAGTTAGGTGGCCTGTAGTAGACTCCTAGCATGACATCACCCTTGTTTTTTACCCCTTTTAGCCTAACCCAGAGACTCTCAACACTTCTGTCTCCTATGTCCATCTCTACCTCAGTCCAAGTGTGTACATTTTTAATATATAAGGCAACACCTCCTCCCTTTTCCCCCTGTCTATCCTTCCTGAGCAAGCTGTATCCATCCACACCAACATTCCAATCATGTGTATTATCCCACCAAGTTTCAGTGATGCCAACAATGTCATAGTTGTATTTATTTACTAGCACTTCCAGTTCTTCCTGCTTATTACCCATACTTCTCGCATTTGTATATAGGCATCTAAGATACTGGTTTGATCTTGCCTCCCAGTTTTGTCCTGATCCTCCTTTCTCTCTGCCAATATAGCCCACACTCCCTCTCGTTTCCGACCCATCTCCCAGGTCTCCATGTTCCCCACTTACCTGTGGGCTTTGCTCACCTGTCCCCGTCGAACCTAGTTTAAAGCCCTCCTCACTAGGTTAGCCAGTCTGTGTCCAAATAGGGTCTTTCCCATCATAGAGACTGGACTGGAATGACTGGAATATTGGTATAGAAGGGTACAGCTTGCTCAGGAAGGACAGGCAGGGAAAAAAGGGAGGAGGTGTTGTCTTATATATCAAAAACTTATACACTTGGGCTGAGGTTAAGATAAAATAGGAGACAGATTTGTTGAAAATCTCTGGTAAGGATAAAAGGGATAAAAAATAAGGGTGATGTCATGGTAGGGTCTACTACTGACCACCTAACCAGGTGGAAGAGGTGGAGGAGGCTTTTTTTAAACAACTAACAAAATCATCCAAAGCCCAGGACTTGGTGGTGATGGGGGACTTCAGCTACTCAGACATCTGTTGGGAAACAACACAACAGGGCACAGATTATCCAACAAGTTCTTGGAATGTATTGGAGACCATTTTTTACTTCAGAAGGTGAAGAAAGCCATTAGGGGAGAGGCTATTCTCGATTTGATTTTGACAAATAGGGAGGAACTGGTTGGGAATTTGAAAGTGGAAGGCAGCCTGGGTTAAAGTGACAATGAAATGGTCGAGTTCATGATTCTGAGGCCTTGTCTACGCTGGCAAGTTTCTGTGCAGTAAAGCAGCTTTCTGCGCTGTAACTCGCGAGGTTACACACTGCCCAGCCACTTAGAGCACACAAACTGCGCAGGTGCAGTGCTGTAAAAAAACCACTCCGACGAGAGGCGTACAGCTTTCTGCGCCGGGGGTACAGCGCCAGTGTAGACACCGTGGCAATTACAGCACTGCCACTGGCCTCCGGGAGGTGTCCCACAATGCCTGTTCTTGCCTCTCTGGTCATTGGTTTAAACTCCACTGCTCTGCCCTCAGGTGACCAACCGTAAGCCCACCCCTTAAATTCCTTGGGAATTTTGAAAGTTCCCTTCCTGTTTGCTCGGTGACGCGTGCAGTGGTCTCAGCGCATCTTTCCAGGTGGCCATGCCTGCTCCACGCACCAGGCAATCCCCTGGAGCAATGCTGAGCTGCTGGACTTCATCAGCATTTGGGGAGAGGAGGCTGTCCAGTCCCAGCTGCGCTCCAGCCGTAGGAATTATGACACCTACGGACAGATTTCACGATGCATGACAGAAAGGGGCCATGACTGGGACACACTGCAGTGCAGGGTCAAAGTGAAGGAGCTGCGGAACGCCTACCACAAGGCGCGGGAGGCAAACCGCAGCTCCGGTGCTGTGCCCACGAGCTGCCAGTTCTACAAAGAGCTGGACATGATACTCGGTGGTGACCCCACCTCCACTGCGAAGGCCCCTGTGGATACTTCGGTGGCTCGCGTGCCAGTCGAGAGTGGACTGAACCAGGAGGAGGAAATCTTGGACGAGGATGTGGAGGGGGACCCAGAGGCAGAGGACAACTCGGAGGTCAGAGATGAATGCAGCCAGGAGCAATTCTCTGCCCCAGAGGAGCCTAGCCAGTTACAGCAGTCGGATTTTAGCAAAGCGCAAACAGGAGAGGAGGCCCCTGGTAAGTGGATTTGATTTTGGGAATCACTGAGTTTTGGGGGGCAGAAGGGCTACAGAATGCAGGCTTGTGTCTGTATGATGCGTGTACCACAACATGCCTAGTCTGAGTGGCAGAAAAAACGGTTACTCACCTTTTGTAACTGTTATTCTTCGAGATGAGTTGCTCGTATCTATTCCAGTTAGGTGTGTGCGCGCCGCATGCACGGCTGTCAGAAACTTTTCCCTAGCAGCTACCCATCGGGCCAGCTGTGGAGTCCCCTGGATTGGCGCCGGTATGGCGCACTATATACGACCCTGCCGGCCCGACCCCACTTCAGTTCCATCTTGCTGGCTACTCCGACAGAGGGGAAGGTGCGGGGGAATGGAATAGATACGAGCAACACCTCTCGAAGAACAACAGTTACAAAAGGTGAGTAACCATTTTTTCTTCTTCGAGTGCTTGCTCATATCGATTCCAGTTAAGTGACTCCCAAGCCTTACCTTGGAGGTGGGGTTGGAGTATTGCCGACCAAAGTACTGCTCTGCTGAAGGCCGCATCGTTCCTAGATTGGTGGACGATGGTGTAGTGCGACATGAAAGTATGCATAGAAGACCACGTCACAGCCCTGCAGATTTCCTGGAGAGGTACTTGGGCTAGAAAGGCTGCCGACGAGGCCTGAGCCCTCATGGACTGAGCCGTGATGGCAGGCGGAGGAGCCTTCGCCAAGTCATAACAGGTGCGGATACAAGCTGTGATCCAGGGGTAGATCCGCTGGGAAGAGACTGGCAATCCCTTCATCCGCTCCCCTATAGCAACGAACAACTGAGTTGTCTTTCGGAATGGCTTTGTGCGCTCAATATAGAAAGCGAGCGCCCTCCTAACATCCAGCGAGTGCAGCTGTTGTTCTTGAGGGCTGTTGTGTGGCTTTGGATAAAAGACTGGCAGGAAGGTGTCCTGGCTAATATGGAAGTGGGGCACCACCTTAGGAAGGAAAGCTGGGTGAGGTCTAAGTTGTACCTTGTCTTTATGAAAAATCATTTACAGGGGCTCAGAGGTGAGGGCCTGCAGCTCAGACACGCGTCGTGCCGAGGTGATAGCCACCAGAAAAGCTACTTTCCAAGAGAGGTAAAGGAGTGAACAAGAAGCTAAGGGCTCAAAAGGAGAGCCCATGAGCCGGGAGAGGACTAGGTTAAGGTCTCAGGCCGGGATGGGGGGCTTTATTGGGGGATGTATTTTCTCCAGGCCTCTCAGGAAACGTCCCACAATGGGGTTAGTGAACACCGAACGCCCAGAATCGGCTGGGTGAAAGGCCGAGATGGCCGCGAGGTGGACCTTGAGAGAACCAAATGCCAGATGCTGGTCCTTTAGGTACATAAGATACTCCAGGATACAAGGAATGGGAGCCTGGGACGGGAGCACCTGCCGTTGGGCGCACCAGCTGGAGAATCGCTTCCATTTTGCCCTGTATGTGGCCCTAGTAGATGGTTTGTGGCTTTCCAGAAGCACCTGCCTCACTGGATCCAAGCAGGCAAGCTCTGCCTGATTCAGCCATGGATTCTCCAGGCCGTGAGGTGGAGAGACTGAAGGTCTGGGTGAAGGAGGCGACCTTGGTCCTGTGTAATGAGGGCGGGAGTGAGAGGTAGCTATATCGGTGACTGGACCATGAGGGTGGGGTACCAGCAATGGCGAGGCCAGGCTGGGGCCACCAAAATGATGTCCTCCTTGTCCCTGCGGATTTTGAGGAGCAGTTTGTGGATCAGCGGAAATGGTGGGAAGGCATATAGCAGCTGCTCGGACCATGGGATCATGAATGCATCTGCGACCAAGCCTGGGCTGTTGCTCCTGAAGGAGCAAAAGGTTGGGCACTTCCTGTTGACCTGTGTGGCAAACAGGTCGATTTGGGGAAACCCCCAACTGCAGAAGACAGAGTGGATGATGTCCGGGCGAATCGACCACTTGTGTGCGAGGAAACGTCTGCTCAGACTGTCCGCCAGCACGTTCTGAACGCCCGGCAGGTACAAAGCCTGGAGGAGAATGGAGTGGGCTAGGCAAAATTCCCACAGTAGGAGGGCTTCCTGACAGAGAGGAGACGAGCGGGCTCCGCCCTGCTTCTTTATATAAAACATAGCCGTGGTGTTGTCCGTGATCACCGCAACGCAATGGCCCTGCAAGTGAGTCAGAAAAGCTTGGCAGGCGAGGCGGATCGCCCTGAGTTCTTTGACGCTGATATGCAGAGCCAGTTCCTCTACTTGTCAGAGGCCCTGAGTTGTCAGGCTTCCCAGATGCGCTCCCCAGCCCAACGCGGATGCATTGGTGACTAAGGTCAGGGTGGGTTGGGGCGGGTGAAAAGGAACCCCGGCGCCTACCGCGCGGGGATTCAGCCACCACCGTAGGGAGTCGAGGGTGTGCCGAGGGATGGCCAGCACTATGTCCAGACTCTCGCGGACCGGGTGATACATAGATGTGAGCCACGCTTGCAAGGGTCTGAGTCGCAGCCTGGCGTGTTGAACCACGTATGTGCAGGATGCCATATGGCCTAGCAGCCTGAGACACTGCCTCGCCGTGGTGGTAGGGAAGCTGCAAAGGTTGCTGATTATTTGCAAGAGGGCCAGGTGACGCGTCTCTGGCAGGAACGCTCTCGCTTGAGTCGCGTCCAGAACAGCTCCAATGAACTCTATCCTTTGAGTTGGGGTGAGCACTGATTTGCTGACGTTGAGTATGAGACCTAATTGGTCAGATGTGTCTCTGACTATATTCACCTGCGATTCCACCTGCTGACAGGAGCGGTCCCCTAGGAGCCAATTATCTAGGTAAGGGTAGACATGCACGTGGCGGCGGCGGAGAAAAGCTGCTACAACCACCATGCAATTGGTGAAGACGCGAGGTGCTGTGCAAAGCCCAAATGGGAGGGCCATGAACTGGTAATGCACCTTGTTCACTATGAAGCGGAGGAACTGTCTGTGAGCCAGGGTGACAGATATGTGAAAATAAGCATCCAGCGCAGGTGTACCAGTCTCCCAGGTCTAGAGAAGGGATGTTTGTGCTTAGGGACACCATGCGGAACTTCAAGCTGACTATGAACTTGTTGAGTTCCCACAGGTCCAGAATGGGCCTGAGGCCCCCAGTCGCTTTGGGGATGAGGAAGTATCAGGAGTAGAAACCCTTGCCTGTGAGTTCCTGAGGGACCTTCTCCACCACTCCTAGAGCGAGGAGAGCCTGGACCTTCTGGATGAGAAGTTGCCTGTGAGAGGGGTCCCTGAAGAGGGACAGGCAAGGGGGATGGGAGGGTGGGGAATCTGTTTCTTCACTTCAGCAGGTGGGTATTGTAGTTGTAAGAATGCTTGATAGAGATCTTGTAGGTGTTTGTCTGAGGGGTTGGAGCAAATGCAGTTGATTGACAGAGCCAGAAGAGTACCCAGAAGTCACCTACTACAGGACAGGCCCAACAAAGAAAGTAACAGAACGCCACTAGCCATCACCTTCAGCCCCCAACTAAAACCTCTCCAGCGCATCATCAAGGATCTACAACCTATCCTGAAGGACAATCCCTGACTCTCACAGATCTTGGGAGACAGGCCAGTCCTCGCTTACAGACAGCCCCCCAACCTGAAGCAAATACTCACCAGCAACCACACACCACACAACAAAAACACTAACCCAGGAACCAATCCTTGCAACAAAGCCTGTTGCAACTCTGTTCACATATCTATTCAGGGGACACAATCATAGGACCTAACCACATCAGCCACACCATCAGAGGCTCGTTCACCTGCACATCTATCAATGTGATATATGGCATCATGTGCCAGCAATGCCCCTCTGCCATGTACATTGGCCAAACTGGACAGTCTCTATGCAAAAGAATAAATGGACACAAATCAGACGTCAAGAATTATAACATTCAAAAACCTGTCAGAGAACACTTCAATCTCCCTGGTCACTCAATTACAGACCTAAAAGTGGCAATACTACAACAAAAAAACTTCAAAAACAGACTCCAATGAGAAACTCTGAATTGGAATTAATTTGCAAACTAGACACCATTAAGTTAGGCTTGAATAAAAACTGGGAGTGGATGGGTCATTACACAAAGTAGAACTATTCCCCCTACTGTTATTCACACCTTCTTGTCAATTGTTGGAAATGGGCTATCCTGATTATCACTACAAAAGTTTTTTTCCTCCTGCTGACAATAGCCCACCTTAACTGATTACACTCGTTATAGTTGGTATGGCAACACCCATTTTTTCGTGTTCTCTGTGCATATATATCTTCCTACTGTATTTTCCACTACATGCATCCGATGAAGTGGATTTTAGCCCATGAAAGCTTATGCTTAAATAAATTTGTTAGTCTCAAAGGTGCCACAGGTACTCCTCGTTATTTTTACAAATCTTTAACTGTCCTGGAACCCCACCTCCTCCTGGGACCTTCCCTTCCCCATCTCCCACAATGCAGATGTGGTTTTTTTTGTTTGTCTCTCTCCTCCGGTGTTGTTTTTTAATAAAAGAATTGTGTTGGTGTGAAAGCAATCTTTATTCCATTAATTGAAAGCAAACAGAGCCCTGCAAAACAACAGGCAATTTTCTTAAACCTTCATAGTGCATCATCTGCACCAATCACAATCACCTCCTAGCATTACAAGCACTGCACTCCCGAGCACAGCAACAAATATTAGTGGCTTTCAGCTTCAAATTGCTGCCTCAAGGCATCCCTGATCCTTATGGCCCCGCACTGCGCCCCTCTAATAGCTCTGGTCTCTGGCTGTTCAAATTCAGCTTCTAGGCGTTGAGCCTCAGCGGTCCAGCCCTGAGTGAAGCCTTCACCCTTCCCTTATCAAATATTATGGAGCGTACAGAACGCGGCTATAAGCATAGGAATATTGTCATCGGCCAGGTCCAGCCTCCCATATAGGCAGTGCCAATGGCCAAAAGCACACTCAACAGTCATTCTACACTTGCTCAGCCTGTTGTTGAACCACTCCTTATGGCTTCATAAGCCACAGCATTAAGGGGTAGGCAGGTCTCCCAGGATCACAATGGGCATTTCGACTTCCCCTACGGTGATCTTCTGGTCAGGGAAGACCCAGCTTGCAGCTTCCTGAACAGGCCAGTGTTCTGAAAGATGCGGGCATCATGCACCTTTCTGGACCAGCCTGTGTTAATGTCCGTGAAACACCTACGGTGATCCACAAGCGCCTGGAGAACCATTGAGAAATACCCCTTCCGATTAATGTACTCAGTGGCTAGGTGGTCTGGTGCCAGAATTGGAATATGTGTGCCATCTATCGCCCCTCCGCAGTTAGGGAAGCCATCCACAATACAAAGCCATCCATAATGTCATGCAGGTTGCCCAGAGTCACGATTTTTCAAAGCAAGATGTGATTAATGGCCCTGCACACTTCCATCAACACGAGTCTAATGGTCGACTTTCCCACTCCGAACTGGTTAGCGACCAATCGGTAGCAGTCTGGAGTAGCTAGCTTCCACAGTGCAATCGCCATGCACTTCTCCAACGACAGGGCAGCTCTCATTCTCATGTCCTTGCGCCGCAGGGCTGGGGCGAGCTCATCACACAGTTCCATGAATACGGCTTTCCTCATGCGAAAGTTCTGCAGCCACTGCTCGTCATCCCAACGTGCATGACAATGTGATCCCACCACTCGGTGCTTGTCTCCAGAGCCCAAAAGCAGTGTTCCAGTGTGGTCAGCACCTCCGTGAATGTCACAAGCAATCTAGTGTCGTGCTACTACGTGTGGTGAGATCAATGTCGCACTCCTCTTGCCTTTGTAGTTTAAGGAGTAATTCCACTGCCACTGCCACGTGTTAGTCAGAGCGAGCAGCATATTTGTCAACAATGCAGGATCCATTCCTGCAGCTCGAAGAGGCAGGGCGCGCAGTACACAAACGGTTGAAAGATGGCGCCATATGTGGACGGAAGCACAGGGATTGCTGGGATGTGAAGCAATGCATCACGGGGCATTGGGACAGGACCCAGGATGCCCCACGACCCCCCTCCATGTTCCCATAACTCTTAGCGGCAGAAGAGAAAGAGGTGCTCTGTGGGATAGCTGTCCAGAGTGCACCGCTCCGAATACCATTGCAAGTGCCGCAAATGTGAACATGCTATTGCGCAGGCAGCTGCCAGTGTGAACACACAACAGTGGTTTCCCTTCAGCGCTCTCTGAGCGGCATTGTAACTCTGCCGATGATGTAACTCTGCCAGTGTAGACATACCCTAAGGAATGGTAGGAGGGAATACAGCATGAGAAAGACACTGGATTTGAAGAAGGCAGACTTTAGCAAACTCAGGGAGTTGGTAGGTAAGATCCCATGCGAAGCAAGTCTAAGGGGGAAAAACATTTCAAGAGAGTTGTCAGTTTTTCAAAGAAGCATTATTAAGGGCACAAGAACAAACTATCCCACTGC